TATTAGATCCGAGCGAGGTAGCGATCCAGATCGCGGCGATATTGGAGTGGACCACATTACAAGATCTGATTTTTCCGAAAGGGCGATACGTGGCAACAGATCCTGAGCTACAGATAGTCAAGATCATAGGTTTTGGTATTTGATTGGTTAACATTAACAGAGTTCAATTTGCTTCTAAGTACACGTGTCGACTCTCTTCCGGGCTGGATTCTTTGGCCACCCGACGTCTCAAGGAAATCTACATACTACGCAAGTCATATCCCTGGATTGTTTGGCCAGGGATTGCAAGAATTCTCAACAAAACAACTCAAGCTGCGATTGGACGCAGAGGACTAAGAAGTCCAGATACAAGATCGCGAGACGGCTCAAGTGGTCAGAAGGCAAGCGTATTAAGTATCAACCCATTGGACAAGGCGATCTCAAGAGAGATCAGGGCGACTCAAATAGAGCACCCCAAGAACAACTGCGATCGTGTGAGGAATTCCACTCGATCGACCCCCACCTATCCCTAACACAATCAAGTTCAACATCAACTCAAGTCCACCGAGAAGTGTGCAACCCGCCCTACCGACGGGTACACAAGGTGAGGAAGGAATTGCTTTACACGGAAACAGAGTACCCCCTCCTATAGTCGGTCGTCTGAGCGCCAATGGAGAGCTGGAAACGCATCAGCAATTTTGCGAATCCCACTTCACCACAGCTTCATGCTTGATTTCATCAAGACCTTTCCCGCGCAGTTTTCGAAATCGGCGGAAGTAGTCCCGCATCGTGTCCAGCGAGTCCGGAGCGTGAGCTCCGGACAAGTCGTACAGTGACCAAGGTATGAGCTGCCGCGCCATGATGCTGGTTGTTGCACTCCCTCTGATGTTTCTTGAAAGTGCTGCTGGATTGGGTGTTGGGTCTCCGGACATTGCTTGTTCGTTTGTGAGCGACGGGTTTTTGACAGTTGAGCACTCACGGTTGGTGAGTGCTGTCATGAGAAGGGGGTGATGTAATGGGCTACATTACACACATAGTATTAACACAAATAAACAATTACATATGTAGGCAGGTGCTGGGCCCGGATAGCGGGCACAGCGTGGTAATTTATTATTGGTTTATTATTGGGCCTAAAAGTCCCCAATATGGACCAATGATAAATCAACCTGAAATTGTGTGGTTCCCGAAAGGCGGGAACACTGTCGTATTTATTACGACTAAAATCTTCGTAATTAGTACGAATTAAAACAAAAATAAAAATCAGAGTTAAATTTACTTAACACCTAATACTTGGGCTTGAGTCTTCCTCGAGCCGCGTGTAAGCTAGTGACGATACGTTCTAGCCCCGTTACAAAACTCTTTTTAATCTGCGATTGCCGATGCGCGAAATTTATGCGTAGTACATACACCATTTGGCGTAGCTTCTGCCGCTGGCACCAACGATCGTCTTAAGTCTTCGAATTCCTGGTCATTCTGATTGTTGTTGCTGGATCGATTATGGCGCAATTTAATCAACTCCATTTCCACGTCTGGAATGTGTTTCTCGTAAGGATTTACTGCATCTTTCACCAATAAGCATTTGTCGAGCTAAGATCCGTTGTTCTTTATGTCAACCGCTGATCATCCCCAAACTGATGGCCAAACAGAACGTGCAAATCGAGTTGTGGCGGATGTGTTGCGTACAGTAGCGACTCCCAAAGAATGGGGCAAGCAATTGCCATTCGTGGAGTTCGCTATTAATAACAGTGTTCACGCCAGTACGGGTGAAACACCGTTTTACATTAACGGACTGCGTCATCCTCGAACGCCAGTCTCGTTTGTACGCAGCCCGAGTCTTAGTGTGGGAGGGCCCCTCACTTCGCTTGGTGCGAATGCCAAAGAGGGCCAAGGTTGCCCTAGCGACACTGCTAATTTAGCCGTGGTCACGGCACCTATAGGTGTCACAAAAGAGGCACGGCAAGCAATGCCAGTGCTCCTTGACGATGACACTATCTTGTTATCAACAGCGTCGACCCATGACCGACCTCTTGGGGGGGTGATCTGGATGCTAAAAGCGTGAGCGAAGCTCAGCGCTTCGTGGATGAGCGATTAGCCATCACACGTAAAGTCCGTGAAGCGATGTAAAGCGCACAGGACAAGCAAAAATGATATGCAAACCAGCATGGTCGCAAAAACAATGAACACTTAAGTGTTGGGTACAAAGTGCTATTAAGTACTGCTACCCTACCTAAACATGCAATTTCTGTACTACCTGGTGGTACTACTAAGCTATTGCCCCGGTTCATTGGGCCCTTTACAGTGGTTAAAGAAGTTGGAGACCTAAAGTATAGGCTCACTCTCCCACCGTATATGAAGACGCACCCCGTATTTTTACGTGGGTCGTCTAAAACGGTATGTTGATCCAGAAGAGATCACATATTCACATCGGTCTAACGAGACCGATGGTGACGTCGACTGTGAGTCGAGTGTCGCGACCGATCAGGCGACGAGGAAGCCGAGAGGCTTTCCGTATATGAACGAGGCGATAGAGGACTCGTTGAACGAGGAGGACTCCGCGCTTGACGCGGGTCTCTCATCACCAGTCGCTCTAACAGATCCAACCGAAGCTTCAGGCGGTCATACCCTGACGGTACTTCGCCCTCACATCGTGCAGATCCGAAGTCAGTCGCGAGAATTGACTAGAAAGATCATTCACCTGCCTCTTCAGCGCAGCGTTCTCACAGCCTGCGACTGAACAGCAGCAGGGTAGGCAGCCACGAGTAGGTGGGTGTAATCGCCACTCATATTGGGCGCCACTTGTGTTGGTGGACACGGAAGGGAACACGCGCTCCCTTGTTGGAAGGCTGTTGACCCACCGGTTTGTGAAGCGAAAGCTCCAAATCTTTGTCCAGTGGAAGGTTTATCCAACGAGATTTGACTCATGGAAGCTTATTGACGCCTTGTGCGTCGACGTGCCTAGGCTGGTGGCTGCTTATGTAAAGAAGCACCAGCTGACGTTTATTGCTAGGTCCGGATGGACTAGCAGAAGAAGCGTAGCGAGAATCAATTGGGGGTCGCTTACCAACCAAGATATCATTCGCACGCTTCATGGCGAAGCTGATTCGCTGAGACCGCTGTTTAGTTGCATCTTCATGCAAGTTAACACGGCGCCGGAGTTCAGCTTCATATTCGTCGGCTGTTTCGTTAGAACGCAGCACGACTGGAATTGGGAAAGCACGATCAAGTGCTTTGCCCTTCTTTTTACACAAAGGGTAGACGCTAAAAAATTATGAGCGTCAATAGTGACACGCTGCAAAAGCGCTGCACTAGACCCATCCGAGTTTATCCACTCGGATGAGGTAGCATTGGTGATAAGCTACCACTCACGCAGCCGCCATCGCCACGACGGGCTAGTGAGGCTGAACGTGTACTCGGTGGAGCTTTAAGCTCACACTCACCTGAATCTGACTCTCCGATATGGATTGTCAAGACATGAGCCTGAGGAGTCACATCAGATTGAGTCGCGACTGCTTCTTTCGAAGTAGCGCGCTCAGTCTTAGTGCTGCGCTCGTAGACGCAGGCGACAAGGTATTACCTTCACTTGCAGGAAGCATAGAAGCTTCCTCAAGTACGGGTGCCTCACATGATGGAAACATATTTCCCATCAACGCGCTTTGCTCATCTCCACTTTGGGGTGATGGCAATGGCGTGCTCTCATTGTAGTCTACAATGAGAGATGGATCTTCATCCACATTATGGTGAGATGGAAGTTTCGACTCAGTGCCTGAAGCACTTTGCGACGGCTGCGAATTATCACGGCGCGTGCGCTTAGTGCTGGACTGCATGGGCGCCTTTGCAGGCGATCCATCAGCCTTACCACGTTTCGGTGGCATATCCTTGCTTTCGATGTTTTACAAAAAATTTAAAATCATCTTAAAGGAAGGGATGGTGTAATGGGCTCAACGATACACGTATCCGTTAAGTATGCGATACTTAACGGGCAGGTCTCAAAAGGTACGTAAGTACTTAAGACCTTTCGCTCGGGTGAGACACACCATGTGTCACACCCTTGCGTATGTGATATACACTAGGTGTATTCACATTGATGGGGATGACGCCCAGCTGGGACTAGGCGCCATCAAATGACGTCAGTCAGTTCCGTCATTGAGCGAGCTTGAATATTTTAAGCTCTCACGTTGGGAGCGCATCTATAGAGATGGCACCCATCATTACATATTCACCAATCAGTAGTTAGATTTATATTTATTTAAAATCTATTAAATATAAATCAGTCTTGAATTTACTTAAACAAACGCACCACGCACGAGAAGTTGCAAAGCTTCTGCGTGACGTCGGTGCCTTCTTGTTAATAAGTTCGTTGCACTCTCGCTTAAGCGAGAGGCAACTGGTGGTACGACTGCTTAAGCAGTCGACCAACCTCCCAACCACCCTCGCTTGTGCATAAGGTGTGTGCTCGTAGTACGAGGCAACTTCGTAGAAGTGCCCGTCTACACCTTGAATTTCCTAGCTTCTGTCTTAGCGTCTCCACTACACAATGTATCGTTGCTTCACTGTACGGTATCAGTGGTGAATATACGCAACATGCGTTGCAAAAATGCAACAAAAAGAATTACAGTGGTATGGAAACTGTCAGTACGCAAATAATTGTCTAATTGGGCTGCAGCGCATACGTAAGATAGCTTTTTGAAACGAAGCTCTTTAAAACGAAGCTCTACATCAGGACTAGTAGCTTCAGAAAATATCATACTCACGTTATCGCTACAAAGATGCAACATGACGCTTTCACAACCGAGCATATACAAAATGTCGCAGTAGTTCAAATGTGTCGGGGCCAGTATAATTAACACGAGAATTGCTGAACATCGCATTCCCATCTTTAAAGCTGAACAAGCAGCTTCTTGTGCCGATTGGTATACTGCTGACCAATCGAAAGACTTGAACAGCACATCGAAGAGAGCTGTTGAAACCTCAGCTTTTGCAACGGTTTGTCTCAGTCGTGAGATCCCCATCACATTATTAAAATGTTGCGACGTAGCGGCAGTTTGACGACACCTTGGGCAATAACTCTAAGTAGATCAGGTCATGTACGTTGTTGCCAGAGCCACAACTTCGACTCCAAGCTGTACGTTTGTCGTTTCCAAGTCGATCCATTTACACGTCATGCTGGAATTTTGTATACCTTTCGGTGATACTTTATTGTTCTTGCAGCCATGAGAAGCCCATTCCCATGGACCAAGTGCGCCAGATCGCCGAAACGGAGCCAACTCCTTTGTCGCTTCAGCAGATGCGCTCGTTCTCGGACGGATGTGCCAAGCTGCGGCTCGTGTCGGCCAAATTCCTGCACAAGGAGCTGCAATCGCGTTTCGCTCGGTGAGACCCATAAACCAATGATCAAACACGGATTTAGCTGTGTTCTACTCAGTAAAACATAGTAGAACACATGTTGTACTGTTTACGAAGAAGAGTGTGATAACTCTTACTGCATTTTGTGGTGATTTCTGGGGAGTGAACAGTGCTATTATCGAGCTGTCGGACTTGCCGCTAGGATTGAGCGACACGACGTCGATCCGTCAAGCAATCGACGTCTATTGTCGTGAGTTGCAGTGGCTTAACAGCATTAAACCTCCAATTTCCATTGTAAGGAAGAATACTATGATCACATACGTCATAATGACGATACGCTACTTGCTGACTGTTTGCTGGGATTGATGGGAGTAGGCAGATGACCGACAGTTTACGGAAACGTTGCGTCACGCCAAAGCCCAAGGATCCAATCTAGTGCCGCTGATTTGTTACGGGCTGCAGCAGCTGAAAGGTACGGATCTCGGACACAGTGCACTGCAAATTGAGAGTGCCCAGGAGGACATCAAGGACCGACTGGACAAGTTTTTTCTGGGGCGTATTGGCATCCGCATGCTGATTGGGCAACATGTGGAGTCGCTCGAGCGCCCAGGAGGCCGTGTGCACCTTGTGAATGTGGAAGAAATCGTACGAGAGGCTTGTGACCGCGCCACAAACTTGTGTATACAGTACTCTGGTGTAGCACCACCTGTGGAGATCCATGCGACGGCGAGTGCTGGCACGCCGTTGATGTACGTGCGGTCACATCTACACCACATGGTATGCCGTCCATTGCATGCTTGGAAGTAATTGTGACTACGTCTAACACTGGGTGGTGGTCATTTTCTGGTGTAGGTCTTCGAGCTGGTGAAGAATGCCATGCGTGCGACGGTTGAGCACCACAAAAAGCGGAGGCACAGAGCTCCCGGGGCACTCAACCAATTTAAGCAAACGATGAACTTAAACAGTCCGTCGTTGGGTTTTTTCCTGCCACCAGTATGTGTACCCAGACGAATGTATCTTGCATTGTGCTGCTAGGAACGATCGTTAATTGTTCAATATTACTTGTATGTATGGTTCAGATTGACGACGTATCGGGTGTCAAGATTTTCCCAGATGTTAGCAAGTACAAGCTCGGAGAGGGGCTCCCACCGGTGGAGATCGTGATCTGCGTGGGCAGTGAAGATCTGACCATCAAGGTGAGCGATGAAGGTGGAGGTGTTCCACGCAGTCGTTGGAACAAGCTGTGGCGCTACGACTACACTACAAGTCTTCCTTATCCGCCCATTGACTCCAATACCTATCACAGTTATAGACAACATTATAGTGGGGGTGGCTACGGACTGCCCATGGCAAGGCTATTCGCGCGCTATTTCGGAGGTGAAGTCGCTTTTACTTCGCTTGAGGGATCCGGATCGACAGGGTTTATCCAGGCACACCGTTTGGGAACGAATGTGGAAGTCGTTCCTGGGCACGCGTCCTTTAACCTCCCGCCGCTTTATTCGTAGTCTTAACATGCTATATACCATTCCGAATTGGGAATAGATTATCCTGATGTGGACATGCATGTGCATTGTGAGTCAAACAGGTTTGTCGGATATACGATGTTAAGACAAAAGCAACCGCAAGACTGTGACCATGCACTGGATAGCATCCCGTATCCTGTGGGTGCACGTGCACGCGTTTAAAGTAGTAAAATGTCACGAAGCCATGAAATCGTGCTGTTAACATGAACGTTTAGACAACGACCCGACAGAAGTACTAGGTCAAGATCATGCCGAGTTGTAAGTTCGCTTTGTCGGTATCATTTGAGCTCTTTTCCTTCGTCTTGAGACCTTAAATGCAAGACTCAACCATATTTTGCAGCTTATTCGCCTCATGGTCACCGCGATTGTCGATAGCGAGCGATGTTCGAGTACGATTCCTCGTAGATAGCTTTGGGCGACAACGAAAACGTCAAAGCCGTCCAGAGTCTCGATACCTGGAGTCGGCGGTGGCACGCACGATTTCGCTCGACATCAGCCACTTTTTTGCTGACTTGTTGTCGTTGGACAGCAGCACGCGTGCTGAAGACCAATAATGGCGTGTTCCTTGATGATTATTGTAATCACCCTACTAATGAAAAGGCTGGTAGATGCCGAGGAGGTCTGGCTGCAACATGCACCGAAAGGGTATTCGTGGCCAACATTTGATCACGTCAAAGAATCTCACAAAACTTCACCTACCCAATAACTTTTGTTAATACTTACATGTAGCTGCAATGCAATAGCTACTGCACATATGTTACATCATCTCCATAAATATGTAAAATGCATACCGCATCTAGTTCGTATACACCTTTTTTCTTCCATTGGATGCACAATTGTGTCACCAGATCCCGCACAGCAAGGTCACGCAAGAGACATTCTCATAATGTACATGTATGGTGATCGTAGTTCTTTAGCTCACAAGATACTACTCAATATGGAGGATAATCAATTCCATTCCCACGAAATCCAGAGTGAAGATTCAAGATGACGGTTCTTTAAGTAAAGAGCTTAACGCTAGTCGTGCATTGTAAAGTGCACGGAACTCCCCACGACGGTCTTTGTTCAGAAGTCGGTGGCATCTGCTGAATCGGTTCCCCAGAATGGCAAAGTCCCGGAAACATCTGATCCCACATGCTTGTGCTGTTGAAACCCATAGACGTAATCTGCTGCTTGGCCATGCTCTTTATGTGTTGTTCCTGTCTGCTGCTCAAGGGGATTGAGTTGGTCCTCAACCGACAGCTCTTCGATACCTTGCAGTCTACCTGGAACAGCGACACGTTTAGTTGTAATGTGTTCTTCTGGTACGTCGTAGAAAGCTTCAGGTGACGCCGAGAAGTCGAAAGCGTTGTAGCCCAAGTGCATCTCGGTACCTGCTGATCTCGACTAGATGCCATCATGATCTTGGTTGCAATACTGTATCCGTTGCTGTTGCCAATTTGCCGATATTTTGCGCGAGCGTCCATTGTCGATGTCGAGCTTCTCTCTTCATACGTGACGTTGCAACCGCTTGCCCGCGACACCGGCGGCGTTGACGAGCTCGAAATCGCTCGATTTCGGAGCTTTTTGAGCCAACCTTCGGACCACTTGACGGCAGCATGGACGTCATCTATTGGAACAAGTGAGTATTGAAATGAGACGACGCAGTACAATGGCAATTGACTTATAGGCGTCGGATACTAAATGACGATGGGATGATCAAGCTGTGACAAGGTATTTCTTGGCCAATCATACCCGTGTCCATTGAAACGTCACTCTACTTCCCCCTCTCGCCTGTCCTTTCAATGCAGACGACGTAGCGGCAGGTTTCAACCCAATGCATGCACAGTATGACGTCACCTTCGGTCAAAGTTTCGTGCTTGATTAGAAAACTATCGTTTTTTGTATACTTGAGAGCCGGTAAAAGAATGATACGTTTTGATATGACAACTGTCTTTAGCAGTCTTCGCCTAGCTGCTCTAGACGGTCAGGGCCACATACTAGCCAGTCAATTCTAGTCTAGTATGTGGCTTTGACCGTCTAGAGCAGCTAGACGAAGACTAGTATGTTAGAGTCCTTAACGTTTTGGTCACGCCTCCGGTGATTGGCGAAAAAAGGTGTGATTATGTCTCAAGATGATTAGTACAACACTTAAGTGTAGGTTGAAGTTGTCGAGAAAGTTAAAAAGGTCCGTCTCTTTAACATCAAATCACAGAATGCGCAGACTCGAGATACCAAAGGCTGTGTCTTGCTGTTCCACTTGAGAAAAGAGTTCGGCTCGCATGACATTGTCCAGCGCACTCAGCGCTCGTTTAGCATGAAAAACCACCACTTCATCCCAGTCCACACGCGCCACGTGCTTGAGTGTATGGTACAATGGCGACAACTGATCCGGCATGATTTCCAACATCTTCCAGCCAAGCAATTCGACAAGATACCGCAGCACAAATACAGCTCCACGCCGCACCGTGACCACGCGCTGCTGCCGCTCATCCTCCAGGTGTCTCCGCAACTTCTGATCATCGTCCTCAATGACATCGCCGCCAGCAGACATTGGTCGACGCTTCGCGTTAAGCTCGAGTTCCAACTGCATGACGCCAAACACACACGTGAGCACGTCCATCAGGTATGGTTGCAGTCCCCACTGCAATAGTGCGCATACTTCGGCCAGATTCGACAGACAGCTTGCCCGCAGAGTAGCGGCAGCAAGAAGCTCCTGTTCACTCTGATATTCGCTATCGGGGTACTCGGCTTCCTCTCTTTCTGCTACTTTTCTTTCATCAATATCAACCTCTTGAACAAGCTGGACACGCTTGCTAACTTCTTTCTGAATGCATTCCACACGCTTTTTCATGGATGAAGAAGGGCGGATGCAATCCAAGTATGCATATACAAACAGCTTGCCATACTTGGAAAGCGTTTCGCCACATCGTTTTGCTGAGAACAGCAATGCTTCACTTAGCTTAATGCGAGATTCCAATGAGTTATTCAAGTCTCCCAGTGCTTTCACCAAGGCAGGAATTGCCACATTGGGATGCGTGTCGGCTAGTGCTGCCAAACCCTGTACAGCAGCAAGAAACACATAACTTTCTGAATCTTGCAGATGAAGCAAGAAGACGCGAGCTAGAGTATGCACGCGGGGTATCCACTCTGCATCGCATGCATGCGAATGACTCTGACGCACAAGTCTTGTCAGCGTTACTACGCCACGTGCCCGCAGCGGTACCAGCTCACTCGAAAGATCTCGTTCAGCCTTCTGCAGTACTTCTTCAAAACTTTGTTTGCCAGCTTCGGTTGTGTTTGTGTCACTATTTTTCGCCGCACTACGACTCAAAATCTGCGCACGTGCATTGCTGGCAAGCTCTGCAGCTTCAGGTCGCGGGTGGCGAGACAGCTTTTCTAGCACCGGCAGCATTGCACAAAGCTGTTGCTCCTCTGAGTCGCTGCGAAGCGACGACCCCACCTCCAAAATGGTCATCACTACTCCTAGGCATATCGTCAGGATCTCATCTCCTTCTTCCTCACTTTCAGTATGCCCTGTCTGTATAATGCTCTCACTTTGCTGCTTTTTGTCCACGATATGCGGTACAGGAGTGTTGTATACCTTTAATACAGTTGCAATACACTGCAGCACTGTAGAAGCGCTGCGTAACACGGATGGTCCCAAGCACTCGATGAGCGCCAGTAACAGCATCAGGACTATCTCGACACCTTCGGCGCTTGTAGGGTTTTTCTTAAATTCATACAATGCCAATGCTGATGGTGCACTGCCATTCGGAGCGCCAAAATCGATGGAGTCTACCTCGCCAGCCTTCCGGACGTGCATATACGTCAATAAGAGCGATGAAAACAGATCACCCACCACTTCCGAGTCTTGAAGTTCCTTGTCACCCAAAAGTTCCACCAGAGGCATTATCAACGCCTTCAGCGACTCAGGTGCACCTTTTGTTTCGCCAATTGACGAAGTAGAGGCCTGAATGAGCCGTAGCGATATACCGCCACCTCCTCCGGCACAAAATTGCCGCAGGGGTCTCCAAGCGTCTTCAGTATAATTTCGTTCATAGCCGCAAGTTGCTAGAGTTGGCTGGAGAGGTAGTGTTACGGGAAGTACAGCTACTTGAAGAAGAATTGCCGCACTTGAGCACGAACGAATCCACGTAGTGAGCGTCGTGCGAAGAGGTGTGGCTAGACAGCTTTTGCTGCTTGCAGCAAACGCGTACATATGTAGAAGTGGGCGAACAATTGGGGCGAGTGCTTGCAAGAATCGTTGAGAAGGAGGTGGACCACAAATGAGCAGTCGGGCGATACCAACGCAGCAAGTCAAAGCTTCCTCACTCGCCTCTCTGGCTGGGACACTTGCATCGCAACGGCTATCCTCATAGATCAGCAACGGGCGGAACAGTACAGACAAAATTTGTGTGTCGAATAGCCTGGGATGCCGTATTGCCACTTGATCGGCAAGCAATGCTGCCATTTCACCCAGCAATTTGCTGGTGGTATTTCCCTTTTCAGGAGTCACGGCTGCAAGCAGTAGCTCGCATACTTGTTTGCATAAAGCGGTTGCATACCTTTCCGCGTCTTCACCGCTCGGACATTGGCCGATCAGAGCGGCAACCTGCATTCTAGCTTGTGTGTTTCCCTCTTCCACTGCTCCTAGCAATATTTCTATCGTAGCCACAATTCCTCCGTTTTCCATCAGCAACCGAGACAACAAGTTGCCGCACCGTGCCTTGAACCGCTGACCCACCGCCTGTTCACTTGCTGCAGGTGTGACCTGGCCGAGTGCAGCCCGCAGACTACTCATGCTCATACGCATCGGAAGCACGCGCATCATCATCTCCCTCAGCCGGATACATTCCGTTTGAACTGGTGTTGCTGTCTTTGTATCCATCGCAACTTCTCCATAAATGAGCAGGGCTAGCAACTCCACCACGTACTTGGACAGTAGAATTGGCTGAAACTGTGGCAGTGATAGTAACTGCAGCAATACCTGAGTGATCTCTAGTAGCTCGCTTGTCGTCTCCTCTCTCTGAACCTCATCATCCATAACAACTCGAGTATATTCACGATCTCCCCACATCAGCACGTCCGTGGAAACTGCAGCACCAACACAATGTCAGTAAAAGAGACAGAAACTCTCTCAAAAAGTCTTTGAAACCCTCTCACTCTTTAGAGTGCGCGTTGGCATCCTCTTTTCAATAGGCATTAGCACTCCTGCAGCCACACGAGGGTACGCACCCCAACAAAACAGCAGTTCAACTGCCGCCTGTAAGACCGAATAGTCTCGCAAACTCAATAGATCCGCAGGCGCCTTGGGCTTTTCCGCTTTTCTAAGCGTCTGTGGTCCCATTTGCTTCCTTTCCTGTGCCTCTAGCTGGTTCAACCGCGTCATACAGAGACAAAGACGTTGGAAAATGGGCACTAACCCGCGTTTCCACGCAATATCGTGCCATTGGACGCTCTTATGCGTCTCAAAAGACGCACACAAGACGCGTACAGCCTCCAAGACATTGTGGTGGATGAGATTAGCATCTGAGGTATCTGTAATGTCCCGTAGAGTGTCCACAAACACGCGCAACGAGCACAGTAGCGTCTGCTGCTGCTTGAGCTCAAATTCCATAATTGACAAGCAAAATATGACAAAAACAATTCGGAACGACAATATTTGCGTTTGAAATTCATATTAGACGGTGCGACTTGATGGTGTGGTCTACGAGTGTTTGAGCACTAGCAGCACTGTCATGATAAAGATCATAACAAGGAGTAAGCTAATACATTTCAAAGGCCGACTATTCTTCTGCGTTTCTTCAGCCTTCTCTAGCTCTTCAATGCCCTTCTCAGTCTGCTCCACTACTTGCTCCATGTTATAGTCAATGCGGTCGAGAATCGTGCCCTGGTCAATAACGAGCACGGCTAATTCCTTAAATATCGTAGCCAGCTCCGTGATGGACGTAGCAATACGTTGAATCTCTTGGTCGCGTTCGTTAATAACGTCCTCGGCAATTTCTACCTCTGTGACCTGTGCCTGTGTGAATCCCTGCAGCAGTACGTTAGACCCCAGTGTTCTGAAGTTTGCCAAAAGCATATTATAGAACAAACTGCAGATCGAAAAACACGTACCGTATCAGCTCTACCATGTCGTTTGTGCTTGGCGTCATTTTCTGTAAGAAAATCAAACTCTACTGGACCTTCTTTCTGGTTTTTTACGCGTGCAAGATACATCTTCTGCGACTTCCGAAAGTCACTCGATAGTGTTTGTAGTTGCGTTGCTAAAGCTCTATTCCGTACGACAAGAATCACAAGATAATCAGCATCTCACCATCCATTTCACTCTTTTCCTCCCACACGAACCTCTGCACATTTTGTCTAGTTTTAGCGTCAGTAGCCGAAAACTCCTCGTTCCGGTCACTCTGGGCCATCCTTCGCAACCCCTTTTCAGCGCTGCGAAACTCGTCCGTGATTTCTAGCGTCACGTGGTCAATCTCCTGCTCGTACTTGGACTCGGAGCCATCAAAACGCACCATCAGACGACTTGTATGCAGCTGATTTAGCTTTTCCACTACAAAAAAACAAACGAAATTAGCAACAGATTCAGCTTTTCTGCTGTGTCGGTTACGTACTCATTCTCTTGATGCGTGCCACATGCTGATTTGTGCCGTTTACAACATTTACCCATTTAGGTGCAATGGTAACGTTCGTAGAATCCTGCTCTGTGCTCTTACAAAGCTCCTTCTCTTCCTCCCGATGGCTCACAATGTTCTTACGTCGCAATACCTTGGCTTTGGCATCCGCACGTCGCTGCATAAACTGACGCGTCAAGTCCCGCGTCGCCATACTCTTGTAGTATCTAGTTGATTAGGTAATAGGATCGGTGTGTCTCTCGCGTCCTGATCTCGATCCCGAACGCCCTCGACTCGTTCCTTCCGTCTTCAGAATCAGATTTTACGCTAAAAACAAGACCTTTTTTCAAAAAACACATAATGTGTTTTATCCAGTAAACAGTCTCTTTCAGATATTCCGCAATAAAACGTTTTTTTTCACTTACAAAAAAGTGTTTTTTATACTGTATACAGTATACTATAACTGAGGTACGTATACATGTTATACAGTAGTACAATATTAGCAAATACTGTTCCGGTAGAATGCTTCTATTATGATCTACGTCAGGAACGGCTTCTACTGTAATCGTGACATTGTGGTTGCCGACTTTACTAAGCTTTGGTGGATCTTATCCACCCCACTATCGTTGCAATTGACTCAGTCAGTCTGTTTGTTGACACATCGCGATTGTATTCCACTAATGCTTACGTCAAACGATGGTGTCCCTCGAACGGGGTCGCTTTTGGGTAAACTTCTTGTCACAAATCAGTAATGTGAACCAAAATTGGATGGGGACATGGTCTACAAGCTCCTTCGAACCAAGTGTAAAGTCAATCGATCGTCAGGCCGTGTTAATAGCAGCACTGGTACGTGATGATGGTGTATAATTAGTCGGATGTGCGGGAAAGCTAACGCATCGTTGTGTTATTCATAAGAGCTGGTCAATCGAGAAGCTGAACGTCGACACCTTGTTCGATCACAACTGCGACAGCAGATCCTGCTTTTTGCAAACACGCTGTGTCGCGAAGACCTGCGACACTGGTTCTGAGTCGGCGTCTACATGTGTGGACACGCATCTCTTTTTCGCGTCGTTCAAGCACCCCCACCTGGGCTGACGTGACGTGAGCGTGCACTCGGTTGTAAGCACCGAGGCAGATAACGCCATCGCTTTTTCGACTCCCTTTGAATTGGCTGCAGAAGAATTATTTACGACAAGTCAATCATAGACGCAATGATGCAGTAGCTCGTAGATTCTAAACTTGTAAAGCTATTGATCCCGACCAAGTATATAAAGAATACACCATTGACTTGTCCATAGTGTGGAACAGTTGTTTACAGTGTATTGTGCCCAGTTTTTCACTAGCGTTATGGCTGACATGTCGTCCGTCGAACGTCGCGAGCAGCTCCGTCACTTGAATAACTCGTTAATCAATGGCTCCTTGACCCGTCAAGAGTATAATGAGCTGCTCTTGTTTATCGCGTCCCCAACATTTCATGAAAATACCACCGACTTAAGCGACCGAGCAGCAGCTTCGATGACAAGTGACCCTCACTCCCGTTCACGCACTGTCCACTTTATCAATGATGTGAACCCTCCACAGCCGATTGCGGACCCGCGTCATTATCAGATTCTAGCGCCCGTTATGACCACTTCCATCTCTTCTGGACTGCAGTTGCGTTGTCCAGGGTGTAGTACCAGCAACGACACGACACGTGGTCCTCGTTGCTACGTGTGCAACTCGCGTCTCACGATCGCTGATGAACTATCGGCTGCAGCAAGTACGAGGAGCTTAAGAGCTAGAGAGAGACCCGAGCAAAGATGGCCCAATGGGACGGCCAATATGCCACCCATTTGCACGCTCACAATGTCCGAGGACGGACAACTTGTGATCCATGACGGCGTCTTCTCGTGTGTCATACAGGACACGCAGGTGATTGCAACGGTGGAAGGTAGTTTCTGCCAGGTCTTTGTCATGTGCTGTACATGGCAACCTCGACAAGCTACCGAGGATGTGAACCAACAAACTCAAGCGACGTGGTACGTTTCACAACGCTTTAGCCATTTTGAAAAGCTACACAAGACGCTCAAGAAGAAGTTGGCACGCACTACAACGGCGTCATTTCCTCCGTTTCCAGCCAAATATCATCTGATCGATCGATTGAAGAAGAGAAAACAGGGCTTGGCGATCTACATGCCACGGCTGCTTGAGATGTGCGCAGATCTATTCAACGCACAGCCATTGCCGGAGCTGGACGAGTTCTTAAATGTCTCGCACCAGATTCGGTTCTTCCTCTCACAACGCCGCAGTCTTGCTGCAGCTCCTATTGGGTCTGCTGGTCTACCGGTTGACAGCAGTTCTCAACGATCAACATCCTCCTTCCCAGCGTATCCAGGCCTTGCAATGCTGCCTGCGCAGTCGATTGCTCCGCCTATGGATGAGACAGAGCTCGCCCAAGCCGAGGGTGCTGTAAGGCTTTTTGCTGAGGCGGTACGTAATGCACGAGGCGACGTGCGTAGCGATGGCACTGTCCAGCATCATTTAGATATGTGCGTGCAGTTGGCACCGTGCTTGCAGCGTTCTGCTGACTTGGACAATCCATTCGCCAAAGCTGAACTCATTCCTCGTGCCATGCAGTGCGAAGAAGACTTGCAACAGGCCATCACGATGTACAATGACTCTTTACTGGCTGTTTCGGATGTGGCACCGGTCCAGCATCAAGTACAGCAACCAGACCCGCATATTCAAGCGCAGCAAGTATCAGTTCGCAATGTCGTGCCTGCAAGCGCTGCCTAAAGTGTATTCTCACGCTACAAGTTGAGCAATCTACGTCATTGTGCCAAAACTTTTTTATGAGCATCTCACCTTCCTGTAACTAGTGACTCTACTTCTTTTCAACCTAAGCTGCTTTGTTTCAATGAAATGTACTTGAATTGGGAAAAACATGCAGCAATATGCAAACATTTACAGTAGTACCCCATCCAGCTACCCTATTGACTGTCCGATACAACTTCCATTTCCGAGCATGCTACCAACAACTGCTTGTTTCCCTCCTTCCATGCGCGTCGACAATCGTTCCAAGTCCAGAGCAGCGACCGCATCTAAGCTGTACATTGTAATCATCAAGTTGTCACCGAAGATGACTAAACGCCGTAGCTGGGCTGGTACGAGTTTTGCTGACCTGGAACGTACGGAGGTGGTGCCTGCAAACTGCCGCCCTCCTGGGCCGAGAGCGCATACGTCTCTGTGACAGCAAGCAACGAGTCGTTGTACAGACCCATGGTCGTCTCTAGATCCTCTTGGCACTGCATCGCTCGCGGTATCAGATCCACATTTGCGAACGGGTTGTCCAGATTTGCCGAGATTTGCAGTCGCGGCAGGAGCTGCACGCACACCTTCAAGTGGTGCTGCACTTGAAGGTCGCGGCGCAAATCGCCACGTGAGCTACGAATGGACGCATTCAACAGCGCCACAGCCTGCTCCGTGTGAGACAGTTCCTCCTCATCCAGTGGTGTAGGCAGTTCAGTAGGCAAACGAGCCTGCTCGCGGGCTGCCATTCCTTCAGCGCCACCAGCATTCAAGCTCAGCGCACGACCAAATCCGCCAGGTGCGGCACTAGATTCGTCAGCCCCACCAGACATAAGCTGACGACGGTATTGCTCCACCTGCCGCGACACGTTCAAGAAGCGGTCCAGCTCCGGCACGTTTAGATTCTCCGGAAGACGCGCGCACAATTCCAGCACCTGCGCCACGTACCGCTCCAGACCCCGCTTGCGCTCCTCCACAATCGCGCTTGAGTTGCCCGTCTTTCCCTTGAACACCCCACCAAGAACGTGCTTGCGGGGAAATAGAGGAATCATAGCCACTGCGGTCGGCACCTTACGCTTCAAATCCTTGTGCAGCTTCTCAAATACACTAAACCGATGGGACACCAGCCATGTCGTCGACTCACTCGAGTCTTTTGGCTGCCACTGGCAACGCAACACGTACACCGTGTACTCCGTGTAGTTATCGTCCTGAAGCACTTGCGTGCGGTGCATCTGTGCCTCGAAATATCCATCATGGATCATAATGCGACCATTATCCGTAGTAAACGTGCCAAGCGGCGCCGTCAGCGTAGACATGCTTCTCTCCTGGCGAGTCTGACCCCCATAGTAGCCAGGGTCACCAGCGGCAGCAGCTGATTCGTCACTTGTGGTAAGCAAAGAACCACACTCGTCACAGTGGTTTCCGTTAGCAGTGTTGTTCGTAGCACCGCAAGCCGGGCAACGAATCTGGATGCCATAGACACCCGTAGTATACAAGCGGCTCAATGACTCCTCCTGCTCGGCGGTAAGAGCAGCACCAGACGGGGCTTCCTCCGGCTTCTCCAGTAGGAAAGGTACCAGTTCGTCATACTCCGACTGAGCGATAGCACCGCTTAAAAGCAGGTCGTTCAACTGTTGCAGTTGCTCGCGATTCTCCTGTGAAACATTGTCCGGAATCTCCACCACGTGCACCTGACCAGAAGGTGTCTGCACACTATTTACCTGCGCAAGCCCGCTCAACAGACTGGCACTGACGTTGGCAGCCTCTAGCAGAGCCTGTTCCTTGCGGCGCTCAGCCTCTTCACGCTCGCGCTTCATACGCTCTTCAAGCTCTTTCGCCTCTGCAATAGCACGCAGCTCAGCTTGACGCTCGTGTTCCACGGCAGCAGTAGCCTCCGCGGCAGCAGACTCGGCTTCTGCCACCGCCGCCGCCGCCTCCTTGGCCAGTCTGATAGCCTCTTCCTCAGCAGCGCGAGCCTCTTCCTCCATGCGCAAGCGGTCGTCGTGGGCCGCAGCGCGAGCAATGCTCTCGCGACGAGCAATTTCAGCTGTCATACGTGCCTCCTCTTCCCGACGTTTAGCCTCCTCTGCCTGGCGCTTAGCCTCCGCAGCACGTGCAGCTGCCAAAGCAAGCATTTCCTGCTTCTTAGACTTGAACAGGCGACGTGCTGTCATACCACGGAATAGAGCCTGCACTACCACCGCAGCCGAGCGCTTCTTCTTAAAGTCACGACGCAGCGACAGTGCACGCCACCAGCGCTGGATGCGCGCCACTGAGTTGCGGCGGAACTGGATACGACGCAACAGTTTTGCAAAGCTGTTTTGGGCAACGACCTTCGCTAGACCCACACGCCAACGGCGACGAGCCAGCCACAGCTTCATGCGTGACACAATGTGTGGACCTTCCGTCACCCAGTTTATTTTCAAAATCGAGTCTAGCACAGCAATTTTTCCAGCCTTGAAAAACAACTTTGTGATACCCAGCTTGTACGCATCCATCGGCACCTGGAATGCCCACAAGATGGCTGTAATGAGTGTCGGGTCACTCTGGTTTGCAAACAGCCGTTGCGCATCAGGCGGCATGAACTTCTTGTATGCTCCCACTAACTCGCTGTAGCTCACACGAGTAGGTAGACCAACCTTAAGCACCTGAGCGGTCTGCATAATGCCCTGGCAACGAAGCTGGCCCACGACATATCGGGGATCAAACATACCCACACGCATAAGTGCGTTTGGTTTAATGCAGCGGATGAAGTTACACCGCGTTGCGTCCAAAGTGTCCACCAGCTCCTGCATCTGATTCGAAAACTTGGCTGCCACACTCTTGGTCAGCTTCCTCTTACCCGGGCGACTAGTATTGGGTTCCTGCTGAAAGAATGCAGGAACTAATTTGTTGGAGGAGCAAGAAAAGAGGTTTGACATATCAGCGGGAATAGAGTCGTTATTCTTGTCGATGAACGATCCGATCGTGTAGCTCACAGCACCAGCAAAGTGCCTCACGATAAACATGTGCTCCATGTCTTTCGGGTGCGTTCGCGGGAAGTACGGGTGCTTTGAGTGCTTCAAGTGCAGTGTACGCAAAAACTTCGCGTCACTAGGTTGCGGGTTCATAGCCTCGGCATCGAGCAGCGCCAAGATACCGTTGGGCTTCGAAGCAATCAAGTCCACACACTCTCGGTTGTCAGGCCACTTAATCCTTCCCACCGTAATACCTTCACGCTTGTATAGCTCCATTTCGGCAATGAACACTTGGTTGTTAAATGTCGCTTGCAGCACCTCATTCGTGTAGTTGATAAGCAACTGCTCAAAATCGTTGCGTTGAAATGATTCGAAACCAAAAATATCCAGGACACCAATATACGGCAGCGGGTTGGGATCATGACCCAACGACGAGTTTACCTGCTTAATAACCCAGTCGAACATGCGACTGTAGAGCGCTTTCGCAATGGCATCGCGTGCGTACCCCGCCGCCTGTTCGTTGCGACGAACAGTGTACGTCTCCTCGCGCGTCACGATGTCGCGCGTCATGATCACCTTCCACAAATCTTTCTCCTTGACGCCCAAAAGTTTCGAAGCCACCGTGAGAGCACGTTTAGCTGACTCCTTCTCAATGACGGCAGCTTCGCCCTCAGGCGTATCTTCCTGGTCAAACTCAATGTTGCCGAGATGTAGCAGACCGGCTGCCACCGAAAAGATGACGTGTTGGACCTGCTCGTCAATACCAACACAGCTCAAACCGCGTACCACGGCCTCAAAGCAAGCACGGTCGTCCGTTTCCTCGGCAAGGTAGCATCCGCTCTGGTTTAGGTAGCAGAAGTCTTCAGCTTGCGTAAGTTCAAACTCCTGGCGTGCAGTAGTCGAAACACCGGCCAACAACTGGTAGAAAATATGGAAATTGCGCTCCCCGTCCACCTGGTACACAAGACGCGATTTTTCTAGCAAGTACGTCTCCACCAGAGCACCGGCCAGCTTAAACTCGCCATCTGACGTGAACTGTAGCTTCATAAATTTGCCAAAACGCGACGAGTTGTAATTCCGCAGAGTCTTGGCATTACCAAAAGCTTCCAAAATTGGATTTTGTTCAATCAGACGGTGGTCTAGTGATGTGCCATGTTGCTGACGGGTCTTAGACATCGTTTCAATTTCATCTCCACGTGCTTTTTTGCCGTACAGACCACGTGTGGTCAGATGACGCAGTACGATCTTGGATGACTCAGTTTTACCAGCACCACTTTCACCACTGATGACAACCGACTGGTTTGTCGGTTGGTCTGTGCCTGAATTGTACACCATCTGCTGGTAAGCCATTTCAGCAATAGAGTAAGGATGGGGTGCACTGCCAGCAGTATTAACTACCTCACTGATACGAGGATTTGGTAGCTGCCGTAATGGATTGACGGCGATTAACACGTTAGCCATAAACGTGTAAGGCTTTTGACCAGTGCCATCACCACCGTCGAGCTTGCAACGTTCCTCCAAATTGTGCAGTACACCAGGTTCATGAATGTAGTACAGGGATGTCATGTCATCGGCCTCGCGCGGGTTCTGCGGTAGTGCAAGTCCTCGGTCCACCTGTTGGATCTTTCCGGCCTGAGTCCGCACCGTCACCTTGAGTCCACCAATGGCCATAACGGATCCCTTGTCCCATACACGGTCAGTACCGGGTATCCAGATGGTTTGACCTACTTCAACGGGCAGTAGCTCGGCTTCAGCATCAGATTTGGAGGCTTGACCGGCGATTGGTGGGGGCGTCGCCATAGTGTGAAAAGACGAGAAAATGAGACGGTAATGGACACTAAGAGGCAGTACGTTCGAAAGGTAAGTCGATGGAGAATAGAATGAGATACGAGGGGCTGCCTAGATCGAAAGAGAAGACCCAGGAAGGCGCGTCAGACCAAAGCAAAGTTCTCTGTGGGCTACGAAGCTTGACTTGAAGTGACAGAATCTCCCCCCCCCCCCTTTGTCTTCTACTGCCTCTTCTAGAAAGAATATGATTGGCTAATAGTTATGATTATAAGCCTATCAAAAAGCAGTATGTGGTGTCGCCACGTAATATCGTACCACCGCCACGCTAGACATGCACACTGGCCTGTCTCTGTCACTTTTACGTATCATCATCGTGTGTTGCATGTAGTACTAAGAGGATTTTATAGACTGCGTTACTGACTGGACTTTACCAGTCTAAAGACTTGAGCTTTCGAGTATGAAGTCAGGTGAAAAAATCTCTCAAAAGGTGGCGCGATGGGACTAAGACTTGACAAGTTTGTCGAATCGAGGAAGAGCAGGGACTGCATCATTTCGAAGGAGCTGCAAAACGCTCCAGACGCTTTTGTCGTTTCTCCTGGAACTGCACATAGCAACAACACATATGCTGTCAGTGAGGTGCTTTGTTGTAATTGCAAACGACTTAGCGATAACTGCAACACAAAACGCACCACTTCACTAGTTTCGAGGTTGAAGCGTTTGGCGCGCTCCAGACGCCGCTTCTCCTCCGCGTTGAGACCAAAGCGCTCAGCACGTGCCTCCTTTTTCTTATCAAGCTGGCGCAAAACCACCAGCGGAAAAAAAAATGACCAAACGTGTTATTCTTAGTAATGAGCCGCTGTCAACCTGTCGACTACGTACCGTATCTTTCGTCTCGAGGTGGAACCGCTCTGCCCGCTTTAGCCGCTTCACATTCTCGTCCACTGCCACTGTACAATCAACCAACCAGTCCGTCAGTCCGTCAGTCAGTCGGCCAATCGACTTGTCGAACATCCACCAGAATTGCCGCACCTGCGCTGGGAAGCTGGAAACGCTTTGCGCGCTGAGCCTGAAGCAAGAAGCAACATTGCAACACCCACACCCACTTGTTAGCCTTTCACTAATATCAAATATCCTCCATTTACAAGTCCCTTCCCCCACCTTTTTGTCCTCTAAACTCAAGGGAATGCCAAACTTGGCAGCGCGTACCGCTCGCTTCTCCTCCTCCGTCATGAGCTTAGCAGAAACATCTGTCTCGGGTTTACTGATGTTTGCTGGTCCCTTCTCTTCCTCATCTTCTTTCTCCACCGGCACTGGTTCGGCAGCAACTGGGTTCTCCTCTTTAACGTTCTCTTTCGTCTCGACCAAGACTAAAGTGGTGGGATCTGCAGTGGGCAACGCCGTATTCTTCAAAAAAGAAGGGACCGTTGTCTTCTCTTTCTTTAAAATTTTGGACTCGACGTCAGCTGCAGTAGCGGGTATTTCCTTCTTCTTTGGTTCGACCTTCTTGGTCTTCTTGGGACTTTGTACCTGAAGCTCTTCCATCTCCTGCGCCTCGCTACCAAACTCCTCTTCGTCCAGCGCTAGCTCCAGACGCTGAATAAGTTCCGTCTTGAGACCATTTGAGCTCAGGTTACGTGACTCCAACGCCGCGCGTAGCTCGCTCACCTTCATCTTCTTGGGGTTCACGCTCGTCATTTTGGATAGCGTAACTATGGATTGGTAGTAGTGGTAATATTTTAAGCTAGTAGTACTACTACAAAGAAGTAATACTGCTTGCTAAATACTAATACCGCCGCTGAACTAATATGAGTTAGTACAAAGACAAATACCGCGCACTGCTTCATTTAGTATTACTTGCCCAAAAAAGGTTATAGCCTGTAACAATACGCGTTCCTGAACCGCAGTCGATGAACTACAGCTTGACAAATAAATCTATTCGCAGTGGTGCAATCGTCTAGCTCCTTTTACCGTATTCAGCAACCACCGACATACATCCATATGCTAGCAGAACTGTTTCACGTCCTATACGCTCGCTCTCCGCACGCTCTACTTCCTCAACAGTTTGCACTCTACTTCATCGCCCATTCCATTTGATGCTACCGCCATTTCTCCACTAATTCATCTCGTTCATCACCAAGATTGTTTTCTGACAGCTGTAAGACAGCATCCTCATATAGTAGTTTTGGATCATTATTGGATGCAGATAGACTCTACGCGTAAGAATTGCCAGAGGCACAAGCCTCAATGACAAAATTAAAACCAGTGTTGGGTGCGAATTTTCAGTATAGTTTTCGCTTGCTCGTGAGTGAGCCAGAATTTACACAAAGGTTTACACTTGGACAAATCTTGCATTCGAATAGCGGTGCTTTGTCAACTACCTTATACTATGCCGCTCTGAATCGCTTATAAAAGCTCGTTACTGCATCATGATGGTACCCTACAAAAGCAGATGCAGACATGGTAAAATCACTTTCATATCTTGAGAGCACTAATTATTCCCCTGGCGCATTCGTGATATCCCATGAGTTAATATTGGTAATGGCTAAATAAATAAATAAATTATGGGGCTGTGCTGTCCGAATCACACATTGCCTACATTGTACGTCAGATCCTAAGACATTGGTTTTTTGTATGCTGTAGTAATACTACTAATGAACTAGTAATGTACCTAGTCATACCATTGTACAAATTACAAAAAAAACACGTCTTCAATTTTCGTCACTTCCAGATCATGGGTGTTTGATGTATTGTTGCTGCACATATCGTTTACGGTAATTTACCGGTTTCGGACGAGTGGGCGATGTTTTTTGACGCTACTATTCTATGGAGTCTCTAATATTCTACGAAATTAGTATTAATACAATAGGTAAAACAGATTATCCGTTTGAGACTTTACTATTTCTCGCCTTGACGATTAATCTTCACTACAAGCCGATCAAATGACGTCCGTGCTCTCTGTCCTAACGGCGCCAGTCGCCAATATAAATACTACGCAGTACTCACGACAGAAACTACCGCGTATGCTAGTGCAGTACGAGGTATTACAAACGCTTGGCTCTGGTCTTCAGGGAAAAGTCAAGCTCGGCGTGGACACCGTCACACATCAGCGTGTGGCACTCAAGATCATTGACGTGGCCAAACTCCACCGCAAGGCCATGATCAACGTCTACCGTGAGGTCGAGGCTATGTCACGCGTGTCGCATTTTAATGTATTGCGTCTTCTTTCAGTGCACGATGACGTGCCGTATCCCAAGAGAGACGGCAGCAGTAGCAAGCAAGTGATCGTGATCGTACTCGAGTTGGCTACTGGTGGAGAGCTCTTTGACTTTATGATGTACACCGGCTGCTTCTCGGAGAAAATTGCGCGTGCCTACTTTCAGCAGCTCGTGGCCGGTTTGGAGGCCTGTCACGGTCAAGGTGTGTATCACCGAGACATTAAGCCGGAGAACCTGCTGCTGGACGAGAATTTTGCGTTGAAAATTGCGGATTTTGGACTTTCAGGTTTAAGAGAACGAGCAAATGGAATTGTGGTGGAGCTCTACACGCAATGCGGCACTGGGGGATACATGAGTCCGGAAGTGCTGTCGTGTCTGCCGTACGAGGGTGAGCCAGCCGACGTATGGTCAGCTGGGGTGGTGTTATTTATCATGCTAGCGGGATTCCCGCCCTTTCAGATTGCTACCAGCCAGGACTGGTGGTTTAGGGCATGCGCGGCGAAGCAGCATGAAACTTTTTGGGCTGCACATGCCCGATCTGCCACATTTTCGTCTGGCGCCATGTCGCTCATGACGCGCATCTTCAACGTCAAGCCACAGGAACGCATCACTTTAGCCCAGATCAAGACACATCCTTGGTTTGGAGAGGATGTAGTTGCGTCAGATGATCTACGTTCAGAGCTCTTATGCCGCAAGCTACAGGTTGAGGAGGAGAAGCGCAAGGAGCGCGAAGAGAAGATGCGCGCAGCTGCGAAGCAACGGCTGCAACATCCAAATGAAGAATTTGACCCTTTCAACATGAACGTCGAGCGATCGCTGGAGATTCCTACCGCGACTGCAGAAGTAAGTTCGAAGAAGGCGCCATCATACCCGACCACCAGTGTGGCGCTTTACACAAGTTTCCAGTCGAATCGGACGGCAACCGAGTTGCAGACGCGGGTGGAAAAGGCGTTCACAGAGCAATTGGCGCGCTTTGTGGCGCACAAGGACCGCTTTAAAACGAAGGCTATGATGGAGGACGTAGGGATCGCTGTGCGCATCTACTCACTAGATAATGTAAGGAGCCCTTGCGCGGACGACTGGCGGCAGCTGGAGCACTTTGTTTTTGCGAGCGAGCAGAAGAGAGTCCGTGACAGCAATGAGCAAAACCAAATTGCTGTTGTCGCTGTACCTCTGGTGCTTGCTTGCTACGTGTTTGTGTGCTTTTGACTGCTGACTCTTTGTTTTCAATGATGCTGGAATGATCGACGTGGATGTATGCTGACATGATGTGGTTGGTGATACTTGTTGCTATTTAGACCCCGGGACGATGTGTGGTGGAATTTCGGCGGACGAGCGGCGAGTGCCTCAAGTTCCACGAAGCGTTCAAGAAGCTGAGTACCTCGCTGTCTGACCTCGTCTGGGACAACGATGACGAAGTGCAGACAACTGATGACTCGCTCGCAGAGGAACTTATTTCCGATGAGGCCATGATGATTTAGGCTCTTCTGTCATGAGTGAAGTAAAACAAATTGGGTGCTGATCTTGTGGTTAGCGAGCCATGCGTCAATAAGGGAGTGTCGTAAGTATAAGCTAAATGCTGGTTGTAAATTTGTGATGCGACGTTATGTTCTACTATAATCTCGGCATCTGTCTTCACAATGTTCATGTGATTTATTTTCACTATTGAATGTTGCGTATGAAAGGCGTCACAGTCTTCCTGAACCAGGGCAAATATTAACTTTCAAGGTATTTCTCAATGCAAATAACTTGAATAATGTATTCCCACAACCTATTGCCTCACCACCCGCTAAAGTTCGACACCTTAAAGTCGAAAAATGTCAAGTATTACGGTACCGTCAGTGGACGTCGTGACATCGGTAGATGAACAACAGATCGAGACGTCGGTACTTCGTACTGCCGAGATGTTTGCACTGACAAAGCGTACTGCTCCATCTGCATACGACTTTGCTCCAAGGTAACGAATGACCAACTTGTGAAACTTTATTCGCGTTTTTGAAACTTTATTTTTTCTAATTTTTATGTGGTTTTGCTCTAATAATTAGCAAAAAAGTACGTGTACGTACTAAATTAAATGACATTTATCTTTTGGATTTTCCTGAAGCACTACTGGGATCCAAGCCAATAGTCGACCGTGTTGACACGAGTCCTACTTCTCTTGAGACAGCTACTCTTGAGGTCTTGGATCGTACTCCACCTCTGACAGATGTAGTCGTAGATGCACATTCAATACCATCAGGCCCAGGAATTTCTATCACAGGTAAAGAAACATTATTATTTAAAGCTGCAGAGAAGAACGCGACGTTTGTAGACCAAGTGGCAAAAGAGACGGAACAGGAGCTGGATCTCAAGAAGAAACAATTGTATGTGTTGAGGACATTTATTTTTATGCCCTGTGTTATGTCGTGTTGATTGCCTTACCGTTTCTATAGGTGCATTGCTAGTGAGGCAGCTACTATTAACGGAGATACCTCCTCAGCGGTTGTAGAATTTAAGAAACAGACAGAAACAGCGGCTCGATTTGGCACAAGTGCAATTATCCGTCGTCGTGCGGCAGAGGTGCCCAAGCCCAAGTGGCATGCACCGTGGAAACTCAAACGCGTGATTGCTGGACACCTCGGATGGGTGCGCTCGATTTCCGTGGATCCTACCAACGATTGGTTCGTCACGGGCTCCGCTGATCGGACCATTAAGGTTTGGGACTTGGCCTCAGGACAGCTGAAGCTCACCATGACCGGGCATATTAATGCGATTCGCGGTCTGGAAGTGAGTCCGCGCCACCCGTACCTTTTTTCGGCAGGAGAAGACAAGAAGGTGCTGTGCTGGGACCTCGAGTACAACAAGATTATTCGAAGCTATCACGGCCACTTGTCAGGTGTCTTCTCGCTAAAGGTGCATCCAACACTGGATGTCCTTATCACCGGAGGTCGTGACGCCGTCGCCCGAGTAAGTTTTTCGACGTCTCTGGATAAACTTTGTGTGCAAATGAGTAATAGATGCTCTTGGCTTGTATTTGATAGGTGTGGGATATTCGAACGAAGAATCAAATCCACGTGCTTTCTGGTCACCAGGGTACTGTATGGGGTCTAGAGACACAAGCAACGGATCCACAGATTATCACGGGCTCCAGCGATAGCACGGTCAAGGTATGTCCACGTGCTTGATACCTCAGATGTCTTTTCGTTTCTACTCACTTATTTTGCTGTTGCGTATGTTTTGCCACAGCTGTGGGATCTTGCCGCCGGCAAAGTAATGACAACGCTAACTAATCACAAGAAGGCTGTCCGCGCTGTGACAAAGTCTCCGACGGTAAACTAATGTTGTGTTGGGCTTTTAAGTTTCCTGTAATTTGTAACTGACACATCTTTCGCTTGATTGTAGGACCACACGTTCGTGTCGGGTGCGGCGGACAATATGAAGAAGTGGGAAGCGAAGCAAGGCAGCTTTCTACGCAACTTCTCGACGCACAATGCCATCATTAACTCCATTTCGATCAACCAGGACGGCGTGATGATCTCGTGTGGAGACAACGGATCTATGCGTTTCTGGGACTATCAGACGGGCTATTGTTTCCAGAGCGACTCGACGAAGGCACAGCCGGGCTCCCTGGATAGCGAGACGGGCATTTTCGCGTCGACCTTCGACAAGACAGGCCTGTACGTGGTGTCGTGCTCTTGCTTGGCTATCGGCGACTGACGAGTTTTGGTGTTGTGTAGGCGATTTATCACGTGCGAGGCCGACAAGACCATCAAAGTGTGGCAAGAGGACAGCTCGGCGTCGGAGGAGTCACACCCTATCGATATGGCCCAGTGGACGAAGGACTTTACGGCCCCGAAGAGATACTAGAAGGCGTATCTTATACAACCTCATGGTGCGGTCTAAGGCTCACAGATAGAGGCTTCGATCGAACTTCAAATACATTTTACCCTCAAACTTACGTAACAACCGATCACTAATGATACTTTTTGCAAGCATCAACAAGGCAAACATGAAGTTAAGTTGTAGCTCACAGCCGAAGTATTACAGTTCATGGCATAAATAATAAATGATGCTTCGCCCTATTGCAGACTTAGCAGATAAAATAGGTAGTGGTGGCTCGGCCTTCTGGCCTGATTGATCCTCTTAGCTATAGCAGTCTTTAAGATCGTCGAAATGCATATGGTCTTCGCCACTTGGCTGCTACATCCATCGCGTCGCCAAAACATAGTCGTTGGAGTCATCTGGGACGAGAAATTAACGTAGTTCAACACGATGCGCGGCTCAAAGGACCCCGTTCGTAGTTTTCCATGTACGGCCATGAAGGCCGATTCTCTTGATATTTCTCCTCAATCACGACCTTGTAGATTTGCTACATGTAGTTTTCCTAGCACCGCATCTGGTCCAGGTTGCCAACCTCGTCGTTTCCGAACCAACCTTTTGCAGTTAAAAAGACATGAGAGCGACAGATCGTGACCGCTCTGCCGCTTCATCAAGTCCAGGTAGCCCGGAGGGTAGGCCGTGAAGCAGCCGCAGTTACAGTTGCCATGAGCAATCATTGCTGGACAGAAACGACCTTGTCAGGGTCATGGGTATCATCCACAACCTGTCCTTCTCAGCCCAGCGTAAGTTGGTTGCAATTGCGTTGAGATTGCAGTCCGTCATAGACTTATCTGCGCAGTGGTTTATCATGAACGTATTGTACGATTCCTTAATGATCTCGGCCTCCACAGCAGTGAAATGCGGCAGACGGTCATCAACGACTCGCGCACGATGGGGCCCGGTAATCGTCGGAGATCATGGACTGCAGGACCAGCCATAACTGCAGTGCACGTTCAGCAGCAACAATATCGTATGTAAAACACGAGGACAATTCCGATGCCAGCAGTGAGGTGCACAACCCCAGCCACGGAGCTTTCCGCGCCGCCAAACTGAAGGTGTTGCGCTCAGATCCGGAGAAGACGAGGGCAGACACGCCTGTACCGTATCGCTTGTTAGATGATGTCCAATAATCGAGTTTCTTGCCGGATTATGAGCGTGGCGAAGAAGTCGACGTAGATGAAGTTATATCCCTGGACTGTCAGAGTTCTAGGAGTGGAAGATATCCGAGCTGAGCCAGCATCCTTCGTGGAGCAGCACACTTCGGCGGCGGATGGAGACAGAAGTACGGCATCGGCCTTCAACTGATGCAGTAGGGTTCATGACGGCCTGCGCATGGCCCAAGGATTGGGTGAGTGCGCAAGATTTGGCCGGCTCAGGCGTCGTCGGCCAGTAATTTACACCGTTGAATTCATCATGAATATGTAACAAGATGCTTCGTAAGGTGCTACGATTAAAACACGTTGTTCACTTTTGACCGGCTTGATGAGATCAAGGAAGGAGCGGAGACAGCGTGTCAACCTGAATGACGTTTTGCTCGATGCATTTTCTTTCGTCACTACAGCAACATCGTTTGCTTTCCATTAGTGGATCTACTTATACCCATTCCTACGTCTTCTGCACTGCTGAGCCGCTGACACTGATTACATTACTCTCAAAGTATGAAGTACAGATCCACGAAAGCAGCTAAATGGACCACGGTTTTTATGTAGCCGTCATACGCTGTAGCACGACTTGATGCGTGCGTGGAGAGAGCTCATCTTCGCCACGCATTGTATAGGAACTAGGGACCGTAAACATGTGCAAATCTGGAGTTTCTAGCTCCATGCGGTCAAAGCGGAATGTTGCCGATACCGACGGCACCAGGGGAAAGCAAAATTGTACAGGAAACCCATCAGTATGTGCCTGAAAAATGACAATCAATGACATTGCAATCGCTAGTTGGTATTCAAGACTGCATTTGATTGACACCATTTCCATACCGCAGAGAAAAATTTCTGGATGCTTTCAAAGACACTCGTAGTTTTTGAAAGCACCTCAATCACAGGGAGAAACTCAGATACCTATGTCACGCAACGTCACAAGGCGTTAGTGCAATGCAAGAGATCGCTGAGAACGCCAAACTCACGCTTAGAGGAAACTGATCGCTCAAGTAGACTGTAGCAGGAAACGATTTTGTGATTTTGTGGCACGAAGGCTGAGTGTACACCATGACGCGGCGACTAGGTCGAAGACTACGTAGCGACGCCGGCAAGCTCTCAATAGATGTCCCGAACCAGTTCTTGAACGACATTTCCTCCTCTTTTACCCTTGTTTTAGCGTCCGAGTCCTCATTTCCGGTACGTTTATTGTCCGTCCCTTTTGCTAGACCGATAGAAAAGTGCAGTCGTTTTGATCTGCATTTGTTCTCAACTGTAAAGTCTGCATCGTAAGATAACTAATAGAGATGAAGGATCTTACCGAACGACGGAGTATGAGTTGTCCCAAGTAAAGACAACTGTGCCTGAACACGAAGCATGAAACGAACCAGTCTGCTCCTTCACTTGCGCTTCGGTGCGGTGTAGTGGAATAATTTCGTCCCAGCCCTCGCCGTTGTTTTCTTCGAGAAAGCGAACACCAAAGTTGATATCGCGCTTTTCCGTCGAGAATTTCCACGTCAGCTCTTCGTCTTTTGCCAGCTCCATAGAAACAATGTGGTACGACTTCGGGTTCACCAATACCTCAGTGTACTGATTGATAACTGACTCTGCTTTAGTCAGCATTGCAATTGCATCACACGCTGTTGTCTATAAAATTCCAAAGCATCGACGGCCAGTTAGGAAAATTAACAATAAGCATTATCCAACGATAAACAGACGTACTTGTTCGTTTGCAGTTTTGGGAGGCGAGTGCGCTGGGTTGTAAGGCTTACGATAGCGAAGCGAAGCCTCAACACCGGTCATGTCAACGACGTGGGTGTCTCTCCAGCAACCAATATCTTGCAGCATTGGAGTAGATGAAAACCACGAGTACTTCTTCTTAAATGCAACCTTGGACGCGTCAAAGTCAGTCGTGACAATCGACGTGATCATCAAAAAATGCACCATCTGATCCACATCCGTCTCAGTAAGTTCCGTGTGAAGCTCGAGCAGATTGGTACACGTCTTAGCCTTGTTGTCCAAACAAAGAAACTTCCCTTCAGAGCCCAAAAGCAGGAATGATAAGTCTCCTCGGTCCCACTTGCCATTATCAAAGCCCACCAAAGTAATGTCAAAGCGGATGTTCTGAGCTGCCTTCCAAATCTTCACCGTATCCGATGGCAGCCAACGAGAGACACCTGGGATCCAGGTAGAGACATCGACGAGCATTTCACAGTAAAAGTCTGGGACGTCAGCAAGACGGGGGGAAATGCCGTTAATTTTCTTTTGCAATAGCGCTGGTGCTTGCTCTTTCTCTTCAACGACACAAATCAAAGTTGTAAGCTCGCAAGTCTCATCAACGGGAAAAGAAAAAGTATCAAGCCTACCTCGACGAACAAGAAGTTGTAATATCTCTTCATTTTCTGTTACCACAGCATGGTGAATGGCCTTCCAACCCTCCACATCACGAGAGCGCACACGTGCGCCAGCATCCTAACAAGCGAGCCATGAGGTACAATTTTGATCATTACTCGCACCATAACGACGTAAAAGCCTCGGCATACTCATACCAATAAAGTCTTCACGATTGTTGTGACGTTACGATGGGCCAACTTCAACGCCAAATGCAGAGCCCGATTACCACGAGCATCTCGCGTCTCAAGCGCCTCCTGGCCGCCATCTTTCAGGCACTCTTGAATTTGCTGCAGGTTCCCATTCTAAGAGCAGACATTTCAAGTTACAGTTAACCCTTCATTTATTTTTACATGTGAAGTAAGGTGATGTGAAAGCAGAATTGACAACGGTCCAACCCAGAGAGCAATCTGCAGCGGGGTGGGCATTGAGCTGGCATTATTCTCCATCATGTTTGCCGGTTGAGAAGAAAATTTAATATGACTGAGTTTTGTCTGGGACGAGAGAAGAATACCGTAAAACCATCATAGATGCGAAACATGTCGAAAGTCTGATGAGCTACGTATCTGTGTCTGAAGTTTGAAGCTCTTCTGCAGCGTGTCTCTCTAGTTTTTATTGCCTCAAAGGTTCTTATTATCGCAAAATCTAGTTCACTGGTATGCACTTGTCGGCAAGGGGCTAACGTGCTTGCCATGCTTACCCTACTGACAAGAATTTACACCTAAGTACTCGCTTTCTCTGAGCTCGTGACTTCCTCGAGCAGCATACTACAGAAGTTAAATATCGCCCGATAATCCAGAAGATACATAGAAACATTTGAAGTAGCAGGCGACGGTACGACAACTTTTTTGGTTGTGCAACGTAGCGATGCAAAGTAGACCAAGACTGTTTGCTCGAGAAAAAAACGAACAGGTTTAGAGTGAGAAAGGTCCAGGAATCTGACATCCAGTGTGGACATCAGCGCAAAAACACTAAGAATCGTTTGGTTGTATTATTCTACCCGTGCTGATTTTACAAGCATTAGTATGTCGAGAAATGCACCGCTTGTAAATCTAGGTAGCACCGAGTAGTAACAACAGATGACGCTAATGATCGAATTTTTTATTGCTACCATAATCCGATGGTAGCAGTTCATCTAGCTATTTTATCACGGTTGCAGTAGTTGTTCTGCTGGCAGCGGATCGATGTCGAATGTCCGGATCGTACCGACTCAGACTAGAGTCTTATTGGGCCTTTTCTACAGGCCCAATAAGTTAATATCGCATATTTCAGCAGGTACTGGAGCCTCAGGTGATTGTGGGAACATTTTTCTGGGAGCTTATCGGGAGGAGGGCGAATTACTCTGGTAGTGCAGTGGTTGCAGTCAGGTTTGAGACTCATACGTGTGAATCGATCAGTCTTTTAATAGAAATGTCAAAAACCAATGCCACCAGCGCTTATAATTTCATGCCGATCGTGGCATCACATGTTGTAAGTATAAAGGTACTGAGCTCCGTACATCTTTTTCTCGCGCTCCTTGCGCTTTTCCTCCTTTACCTGCAGCGTGCGGCTCAAGAGCTTGCAGATCAATCACTAATGTAGTAGCTGGACACATATGACGAATTTAGATTACGGGCTTTGTTGTGATGTCACCGACATCCTTGTACACTCGTCGCTTACCATCTCAAATTATCTTGTAAGAAAAGAAAGGGATTGCCTGCATCTTCTTTTTCGAGCTTCGTATATTATAGAGAGACGTTCGCCTTTTGAAGACAGGCGATGTCTTTCATTTGGCGAACGTCTCTCAATAATATACGATATTCGAGCATTCTGTCTGGTATTCGAGGTTCACCCGCAGCTTCATCGGTTTCCTTGGTCTGTATCGGATACAACGTTGAATCATAGTACGAAAGAATTAGGCAAGCAAGCATTTCGTTTCCACAAAAAAGTTATCGGTCCTCAACTTTCGATTCTCGTTGATCGCCTTTTCCGATAGGCAACGACGGATGCATGACAGTGCGCAGCGCTCCGGCAAACGCCGACGCAAGTGTGGGATCAAAGACAAACAGCAATCCTCTCGTGTAAAGCGAAAGGGTCAGATTGTCGATTCACATGGTGTAAGATCTCTGGAAAGTCCTGAGCCAGGATGTCAACGCCGCCAGGCCCGGCGGTTTATCGTGGCCGGTTACCGTAGAACTTGGTGGCTCTCTAAGGTCGCTTCTCTAATTCTCGATGCAAGCATAAAGTAAGGCACCATGAGTAACAGACGCAATTTTTTAATGTTGTCTCTTTGCGGTTGCTCAAAGCTGACAAAAAAGGCACAAAGCCCAAACAAACCTTGTCTCCTCTGACCATTGCAAAGCCATTGATGAACTCGTGGGAAAAGAAGGGGATTGTCTTTGTCTTACTAGAACATAGTATAGTAATTTGAGACACGGGAGGATTGCTGCCAGTATCAAACGGATATTTATATCTGAACTTGTGAGAAAGAAGGGGATTGTCTGCATCTTTGAAAAGATGGTATAGAGAAGAAGACATGCTGTTTATTGGAGCCAGTACCAAGCAGTGCGTCTCAAATGTCTTACACGCTCCCTCACTTTGCATTTTGCTTCTAAATCTCCAAGTAGCTTAATTTCGAAGATGCCGATCAAGTCCAACAAAGCCCCGCCTGCAAAGGCGCTGTTTGTTATCATGCTCGTCGCTCGTTCGACCATGGGAGTGGCAACGGCAGATTTGCCACCAGAGAATGCCTTACGCATCTTGCAGGCATTGGATGCATTGTATGTGAATCTGGCACCTCCTGCCTCCAAACAAAAGAGGTACTTGAGGTCGGCCGCGGACATGGCGATAGGTGAAGCAGGAAGGTTAATTCCCGATATCTCGAAATCTAAGGAAATCGAAAGCCTTTTGGGAAAAGTGAAGGTAGACCCCCTTACCACACTGCGTCAAAGTTCCTCAACGATCTCCTTCGATACTATGACAAAATTTCAAAAGCAATATTGGCCAGACTTCGACACAAAAACTCCCGAGGAGGCCTTTAAGTCTCTGTCGCTTGGCAAGATGGGAGAGAACCCATTTAAAAGCCCAATGTTTCCTATGTGGGAACACCTTGTCAAGAAAACCACGTCCGAGACAGATGTGACCAAAGCGATGTTTGAAGCTATGGATAATGCATTGGGAGATAAAACTAGTCTGGCCAAGTTCCTAGGTCAAGCAAAGACTTCAACTGAATTCAAGGGCACCGTCGAGAGTCTTTACAAGTATCAGATCGATCTTTGGGTTCGAGATGATTACACGCCACAAACAGTTTATGATCTTTTGAAACTCAACACGGTAGAGGATCTAAATAAATTACCCGACTCCCCAGAATTCAGCATGTGGGCTGCGTTTAATACCGAAAAGAATTCGGTGTATGAGGCTCTTTTAGTCCTTAAGGGACCAGAACGCAGGTTTCTTGATCCTGATCTGATGAGGGCTCTTGCCAAAATCGACGAAACCCGTGACAGCTTTAATTTCGCTCAAGGCCTGCTATACGCTCAGCTCCAGTTTTTGAAAAGACATCCTATTGAGATAGAATCATCCTTCAGGCGTTTCAAGCTTAAAGCATTGGATTCAACCAATCCGAAGTCTACACCAACTGATGTGACTATGGATCCACTTGGAAGGCTTTGGGTCGACTACGTGTACATGAGAAAACAGGACGAAAATGGCCTTACCGACTTCGGTGAAGTCTATATGCTACTCAAGAATAGGATTGGACATACCGCGGCCATAAAGACGATGAAAAAGGTGAATACGGACGGCTATTTTCTAAAACATCTGAATAAGAAGAGCTCTGAGGAGAAGGAGAATTTTGGTTTGTTTTTGAAGACATTTGAGCCGGAGAAACCCATGGAAACATCTGGATGATGGAGGAGAGCTGGTGAAGGGAAGTTTACCTTACTTCATGGGTAAGTATTGGAGGTCCTTGTATTATTTCTACTATGACGTTGTTGGACAGATAGTGGAAGTAAGTGCTGGTTTTTGTGGTAAAAAGAAATTACATGTTTCATATACTTTCCTATTTGTTTTGTGTGAAGTAGCCTTACCTAGCTGACGCAGTGCCTTGCGCACTACGGTTGTGTGTACCACATCAAACCCACCCTATCGACGACGCTAGCGTCATTCATTCGAAAGTCGGATAACAATTCCCCACCAGATATTCTGTCGTCATGCTAAGGTCTCTTCATGTAGCACGGTCGTCACTGCGACATTCCCAAAGCTTGCGTCAATTGTCATTCATGTCTCAGTGTCATCGGTCGTCATTCCCGAGACATAGATCGCTCTTTTTACCACCGCCTCAGCCTTTGCTTCGATGGTTCGCGATGGTTGTTCCAAATGATACAGAAGCTAACAAGAAGAATGATTTACGTAAAAGGAAGGACAAGGACAAGAAACCATTTTTAATCAAGGTTGTTGAACCCATATATCCTTTGCCTAAGCCACGGACGGATGTTAATAAGGCCTATTTCCCGGGAAAAGTGTCCCGCTCGACGTCACAGGATGTGGTATTCCGAGCCATGGCGGGGAACACAGCCATTACAGTCCTTAAGGTACTAGCGTGGCTAAAGACTGGCTCCAATGCTATGCTTTCAGAGGCTATTCACTCGCTCGTGGACACCGGCAATCAGGCTATCCTTATCTTGGGTCTGAAGCAAGCGTCAGGTGTACCGGACAAGAAACATCAGTACGGATACGGACGCGCTGCTTACTTTTGGTCGCTCATCTCTGCATTGGGCATTTTCTGGTTAGGCTCCGGTGTGACTGTTGTTCACGGGATCCAGTCGATCCTAGAGCCTCCAAAAGAGCTCACACTGTCATGGGAGATCTGGTGCGTGCTTGCGGCTTCTTTCAGCATCGACGGATGGGTGCTTAAGCGGTCAGTACAGGAACTACTGGCCACCAAACCCAAGAACATGTCGTTTTATCAGCATGTGAAGCGGACGAAAGACCCGTTTATGATGGCTGTTCTGCTCGAGGATCTCTCGGCCTGTGTGGGTGTTATTATTGCTGGATGCGGCATCGGGGCCAGCCATATTACCGGCAACACGCTGTGGGATAGCCTTGCAAGTGTTTCTATTGGTGTGCTTCTTGGTGGTGTTGCAGTATCACTAATCCGTCTGAACCAAAAGTATCTATTGGGTCAGTCAGTGGAGCCAGAAATTGAGAATGGTATCCGTGAGTTGTTGCTGGCACGTCCGTCCATTGACAACGTGTATGCTGTCCAGTCACAGTGGGTTGGACCATCGACATTTAGCTTCAAGGTAAGACGGCAGCGCAGAGCAACCTCTGCATGTACTCTCTTGTCTTGTGGCTCTGACCTGTGTGGATATACGACATTTGTAGGCTGAAGTGGACTTTGATGGAACGTACTTGGCAGCAAGACTATTACGAATGTACGCGTGCTGGTCTGGTCATTCTATTGATACATGGTACTTACGATGCTGTCTTATTGTTTATTTTTGGTAGGTACAAGCCGGTATTTTTGGAAACAAAGGATTTGGAAAATGATCTATCACTCATTCTATCCTGGTACGCAGAGGATGTGACCCGTCTTGTAGAGAAGGAGGTGCAAGAGGTCGAAGAGGTGATTCGTAGCATTTACCCTGAGGCCGCCTTCATCGAGCTGGAACCTGATAGTAAAGAGTCAGAGATGCAAGCCGTGCTAAGTATGCAGACGAAGTCCTCCCGTACTAGTGAGCGAGAAGCTATGACACGAGCACTAGCCCTCCTTGCACGGACATTAGAGCGCAAGACAACAGACGGTGATCGTCCTGCTACTACTACCAGCGCACAAAGTTAACTTTCTATTATGTATTTAGCACACATGGCCTAATCCTTTCGACATGGTCTTGTCACGACCAACTCCGGCTTGTGTCAATATGAGAGTCTGCTTGCTAAACGAGCGAACTAAGCAGCGTAGCGCTACAAGAGAAATGGCTGAACCGATATGCCAATCGATGAGAGTCAACTACCCCACTTGTCGTCCTCAATTGAACTGTGGACCAGGTTCCAACAAACCGCTTTATAAAAGTCTTACATTTGAGGCAAGCTCTGCAGTCGATGATGCGAATCTGCTCCCAACTACTCGATCATGGAGGCAAGTTGACCATTACTAAGTAGCACTTCAAACTTATACATGCATCTTCTTGCAGCGCATCAGTTCCACAGCGCAGCTTGGAAAACAATCCTTTACGAGCACAGGAGGAAATTACGCCTTAGCGTTGTAATAGCTACAATTCGAATTCTCGCGAGTCATACATGATATCGACTCACATCCGTTCCCCTTCGCTTTGCACTTGTCAATTGCAGACAAGCTGTTCCACAACAATTCTGCCTATTGCTGTGCATGCCGACGTCCAGACTTTGGTAAGACCACAAAACCCGCTGAATGCGACTGCCACAGCTGATACAGCGCCACGATGACAACGAAGGACAGCACGTTTAGCAACACACCGAACACCAACTCGGAAGACGACACCAACTGTCCTTAAGATCCCATCATCGTCGCCACGAACCTCAACGGTGACATCGAAGCTTCAAAAAAGCACTCTTCTATACCACACAACGTCGGAACCTCATGCAGCACGCGTCCAACGCCACGAATGTTGCCCGCATCGACGGCAGTGCCATCGCAGTCGACGAAAACAGTGATTCCAAACACGGACGCACACACCGCCACACTTGCCATTGATAACGTGGACGCCATAGTACGCCGTTTGTCTGGTTGCGGCGTCATGACAGCCAAATCCGCAGCCTGTGCGTCATCATCCACATCCATGTTCTGGACACTCTCCAGCATGTTGAGCGCCACGCAGCTCTGATCTGGCAGTGACACGAAAGCAGCCAGCTGGTGGTTGCTGTGAGACGATGCATGCTCCTGCTTGCAGCTCGTTACCAACGAGCGCAGAAACATGTTCTGGTCCAGCAATGACTTGTTCTCAGCTCGCAGACCTGCAATGATGATCAGCATCTCCTTCTCCTTCGTTTCAAACTCGGCGACTCTCGCCGTCAGATTCGTTAGCTGTGCTTTGCGACGTAGACGGCTCTTGTTAGCACTCTCCCGATTCTTCATCTGGCGAATCTCGCGTTTGGATTTTATCGCGTACGAATCGTTGGTTGCAGCAGCAGCAGTAATAGCAGAAGACAATGCAGAATTACACGTGCTGAGTGACGTCGCGCCCGGAAGGACGGGAGTAACTGGCCGCTTCTGGTTGACGTTGAATGACGGTGCGAAGTATGCCACAGGCAAGGCATAGGAAAGAGCATCAGAGAACAGCTTCGATACTGGCATTGGCTGGGTCTTGCCGATTGATTGCATCGAACTGGCTGCATCGATGGGCGTTGACGTCACTGAGCTGTTGTTATTGTTGCTGCTACTTTTGTCAATAACCTCGTGCGTCCGAGGCAACAGCAGCTTCTGTCCGCTGGAAAGCGGCGAGTGCGTCGACATGGACGAGCCCAAGAGCAACACTTTCGCTGCAAGAGACGACATCATGTCCACCTCCTTCGGCAAAGAGCACAGCAACTGCTACTGAAAAGCAGGAGGCGGCGTCAACACTTCAGCGTCTATGGTGTCGTCATCGGTGCTCACTGGACTGGTCGGGCAATGGCTGACAGTGACTGGGAACTGCGTCTGCTGTAGATGCGTGTGGCTCCTATCCAGCTCAGGAGATTTCAGCAGTATATCGTCTGAATCGAACCAGTCCAGCAGAGGCAAAGCAAAGGCATCAGTCTCGTCGAAAAGAAAGTCGTCCATGTGCAACTCGGCTTTTGCGTCGCAATATGGGAAGTGGCAACTCCAAGACAATGAGAGAGGTGACCCTTTCCAATGGTATTTACGTGGTACCTTAGACATGCCACTTGGATGAGGCCCATCAAATGTGACCCACTCTCGTGAATGTGATATCCATGGGATGGATTCACATTCAACGGGAATGACGCCCAATTGGGAATAGGCGTCATGGTGACGCTTCAGACGGACGTCATCAGCAAGCTTAAATACATTTTAAGCTCGCACGTAGGGACACGCTTCTAAAGAGACGCGTATCCGATCTTTACATTTAACAAATCAGTAGTTAGATTTATATTTAATCATTTTTATCAGATATACGTCATTCTTAAATCACTGCACACGAGAAGACTGGAAACAGTTTCCGAGATGTAGTTAGGTGCTTGTTCTTAAGTTCGTTGCGCTTTTCGCTTCAATGCTACCGGCAAGGGTTGGCACTGCGCTCTAAGCGCCGACCAACACCACCACCGCACGAGGAGATAAGACGGTATAACCGCTTCCTCACGCTGCTCGAAGGTGTGTGCCCGCGTAGTACGTGGCAACTTCTTTGAAGTGCCCGTCTACACCTGGTAGCTCTAGTAGTCCTTCCCGCGATCCGTCTCTCTGAGCGTGGGTGTGGCTACGGATGTCCCTCAGCGTGAATTGGAAAAATTTTCCTCACCTCTCCCGACACCATAGGGAGTTAACTGAGCACTTGGTCTAGGGACTTGGTGAACAATCCCTGGCCAATCTCTTGCATTGTCCTCCTGAGCAACATGTTAATTAGTTGGAGCAATTCGCAGCGTTTGTGCTCGGATTGCGTAGAAATGCGTCCGAGGCAAGCAGCCATGCAGCAGCTGAGTCCATCAGAAAGACTCAGGATGAGCTTTTGCGTGAGCAAGCTCGGAACGAGGCGCTCAACAGAACTGTTGAGACGCTCTCTGAACGTCCTAATCAACCGAGGCTCATTCGGATGGACCCTCCGAGGCTCGATGGGACTACCCCTCACACGATTGTTCACTGGCTATTAGCAGTTGAGCAATGTAGAGTGGCGCAGCTCATCGAAGACGACACCAAAGTGGTTCCGTATGCCATGTCCAACTTGCGTGGTAAAGCGTCAGAGTGGGCATACTCTGCGCTGATGGCAAATGCTGATGCATTTCCATCATGAGCGATCTTCAAAACAAAGATTCGCGCCATGTATCAGCCGCCTAACAACGAAGTGTTGCTTATGGCGCGCTTCTTTGGATCATGACAGGCGAAACGCTCTCTGCAAGATTATGTGCAGGAGATGCGTTCGCTGTCTTTGTCCATTAATGGGGAGCCGATACCGGAACACATGAAGGTGCCAACGTTTATGAATGGACTACGGCACGGCTCATCGCGTCAGGGCCTTTTAAAAAGGTTCCAAAGACGATGGAGAATGCAACAGAAATTGGCATGGTTGAGGAGCGATCCTACAACAGTGCCTCGGCGACCGATTTTTATAAGCCGTCGGCCGAGAAGTTGGATGCCACTCCAATGGAGTTAGGCAATGCAAACGTGGTCTACTACAAGTGCGGCAAGCGCGGCCATTTGATGGCTCGCTACTATGCCAAACATTCTGCTGGTTCTAAGACGCCCAGCAAGAAGGCTCCCTACCCGAAGGAAGGTAAGAAGAACCAGCGTGCACGACGCAAGGGTTTAGCACCTGCCCAACATGGGTCGGTAAATGTGGGAGCGCAGTAGGAGTCGGATGCCTTACCGTCGCGGACTCTGAGGCTACCCCTAATTTTAGAGTGATCGAACAAATGGGTAGCATAGTCCTTATGGTACCGATAGGTCGGACCTCAATGTGGTGAAGTCGATCGAAGGATTTTTGATCAACGGTGGGAAAATAATTGGAGTGTGGACCACATACATGGAATGGATCGATATTATGGGATTATACTTGGTTATATTATGGGCGCGATCAGTTTATTTGATCGATCAATTGATCGCATATGATCGTTACAGCCCAAGTAAAGATTACGACTACATGTCGACCTTTTATGCTCGATCATGATTGATCGGGACCGCGATTGAAGCAATAGGCAGGGATATAATTTCGATCAGATCAGCATGGATATATTTGCGATCACGATCGACAAGGGCGATCACGATTGACGAATGCGATCACGATCGACAAATGCGATCACGATTGACGAATGCGATCACGATCGACAAATGCTATTACGATCGACAAATGCGATCACGATCGACGAATGCGATCACGATCGACGAATGCGATCACGATCGACGAATGCGATCACGATCGACAAGGGCGATCACGATCGACAAGGGCGATCACGATCGACAAATGCGATCACGATCTACGAATGCGATCACGATCGATAAGGGCGATCACGATCGACAAGGGCGATCACGATCGATAAGGGCGATCACGATCGACAAGGGCGATCACGATTGACGAATGCGATCACGATTGAAGAATGCGAATATGATCGACATCGTAAACAAGAGTGATATCGCAGCTATATTGGAGTGGGCCACATACCTAGATCTGATGTTTTCGGAAAGGACGACGCGGCACAGAAGAACCTGGTATACAGATAGACAGTATAGTAGGTTTAGGTTTTGATTGGTTAACTTTAAACAGACTTTCTTTTATTTATAATTACGCACGCAGACTTCTCTTCCGGGTGGTATATTTTGGCTCCCCGACGATAAATCGTATCTGCCACCAGTACCTACAAGTATTATCCCTGGATTGTTTGGCCAGGGATTACAAGACCTCTCACGAACAAACTTCGCCTGCGATTGGACGCAGTGACACGTAAAGGAAAAGGCACAAGATCGCGAGACGGCTTAAGTGGTCAGAAGGCCAAGTGAACCAAGTGGATCAAGTATCTACATTTTTGAACAAGGCGATCTCAAGAGAGATCAGGGTGACTCATATAGAGTGCCCCAAGTAACCCTCGATCGCGTGAAGATTTCCGCGCGATCGAACCTCTAACCAATCCCAACCACGGTCAAGTTTAGCATCAAATCAAGTCCACCGAGAAGAGTGCTACCCGCCCTACCGACGGGTACACGAGGTGAGGAAATAATTGCTTTACACCTAGATGAAGTACCCCTCCGATAATCGGTTATCCGGGCGCCAGTGGAGAGCCGGGATCACATAAAAAAATCGTGAACCCCGCTCCAACACAATGGTGCGCGTGCCCGGATCTTCTAGTGACTCGGGATTTCACCGTGAGTCCCTAAGAGAAGATGTAACAGTTAAGACTGAACCTAAGATTGAAGCGTCAGAGGCAAAGTGATCGCCGCAGACGCATGAAAGAAAAGGATCTCCTGATCATAAGCGTTTTGGGAGGGGCGCAGACGAGAAGAAGAACAAAGAGGAAAACCACGAAATAGGTCTGGAAGAAAAACCTCTACTCACTCCCCAGGTCCCTTCGGGGACTCCTGCTGATCACGTTGCAAAACGTAGATTCGTGAGATGAAATCTTTCAGTTAAAACTGAGAGAATTTTATCCAAAACCATTCCTGCAATACCAAATAGGAAAGAGTAGAAGAATCCACAGGTGCGGATGAAGGCACCACGATCACAACTCGACGTTCGGGCATAGAAATCGGAAGATTGTGGTGTCCAAGGAATAGAGTCGGCCTATCACGGATCGAAAACTAAAAGATCGACGAACATGAGAGAATTGGAACGGTGTTTTCACCAGAAAAAGACAAAGACTTTTCTATCGAGCGATCCAATTTTCAAAATTATGAAGCCAAAGCTAATCGGATCACTGCAAGGACCAGTATCAGCTCCAATAGAAACACCAAATCAGTTGGAAGCGATTCGTCGTTTATTGAAGCTGCTCAAGGAGGCAGAATTCCCTGCTAGAGCGTTTGAAGCGGCCACATTGTTGGAATGTGATCACGATCAAGTGATCAAGGCAGGACGATTGTTGTTCGAGGCGTTAAACCTCTCACTGGAAAGTACCAAGCGATCGTGCAGGCCACTAAGATGCATCAAACGGGATTATCACAGTATGCATCGGCAGAATCGGAGGCGGATTCGAAAGAAACGATTCCTTTCAACGGATGTCGTTGGGACCGTCGGGTGTGGCGTTTATACGTGAAAAAACGACGCCGATCTAAACGAAGTGATATCGACCGATGTACTCATGGTTTGAGGAATGAATCCACTTGGATCAACTAGCTGGATTCTTATTTTAAAGCAGCCATGAAGAAGTGCGAAGACGATCAACGGATTTTAGCTCAAGAAAATGCTGATCGATCAAGGATCGACACTACTCCTCAAGGGATGAATGTTCCAGATGTGGAGATGGAGTCAGTTGGATCGCGTCATAGTCGATCCAATATTGGAGACCCGCTGTATCTAGGACTCGAGGATCTAAGACGACCGTTGGTGGTAGCTGCAGAAGCTATGCCAAGTGGTGGGTTTACTACACAACGAATCCGAGTATCGGTGATCGCAGATTTAAAAGAGTTCATTGGGCGAGACAGAGATGAAGATCGAGCCAGAAGCTGGATCAGTAAAGTCAAATCTGCTTTTTACGGGATCAAGCCCCTGACAACGAAAAGTGTCTCGTATTTGGAGATCTGTTGACGGGACCAGCACGGAACTGGTATAGACAGCTGAGCCGATCGACTTGTCACCACTGGAAATCTCTATTGGAAAGTTTCATGATACAATATGTAGGGTACGGCATATCTGTTGGAAGACAATATTACCATGCAAGGAAACAATCGAATGAAACTCCATCGGAGTATCTATATCGGCTAAATGTGGCAGCGATCAGAGCAAAAATTTCAATTCGAGAAGGAACACCAGCTACCAAACGTGAACATGTGGAACATTTTATTGAGACAATTGATGATCTCGATCTGGCGAAAAACTGACTTTATTACGTTTGGACGATGCTGATGACATGGAAGAAACTCTACATGCGTATCAACGTATGGAGATTCGTCAAGGCAAGGCATCG